AGGGTTTTCGAACAAAGTTAATCTGTGTGTGTGTATTTATTTTATCCTTTAAGTGATTTCAATTTTTAAAGAAGAGCGGTAGTAAAATGTGTTCCCGTTCCGATTTTACCAATAAAATTATATCAACTATTATCAAATAATATTTAATTTGAGGCCCAATATTAAGCCCAATATTTTTGTTTTTTTAGATGATGTTAAGATTGGAATAAACGAAGCCTGCTATATTATTAGTAAAAATTGTCAAAACCAATAAATTTTCTAACGACATATAATTTTTCGACATTTTACATACTGAAATGGATTATGGAATATAAATATCCAGTAAAGTGCACAAGAGCTTAATTCACTTCAACTTGATTTAATCCTTAAATTCCGTTAGAGGTAATTTTTGCTAATGAGGTAAGGGATCTGACTCTTTTTTTCAACTCCGCAAACATTAGGGCTACACCTAGGACTCTAACAAACTGCAATATTGCTGCCACCTCAAACCGCAAAAATCTCATGGAAGTCAAAAAGCCCCTCCCGAAATATCTTAACTGCCATTCTTTAAAAATAAATGCTATGTATAAAGATGCTAGTTTCAAAAACACTATAAACTAAAACTAATAAAGATTTTTCTTATTTCTTTGTTTATCTCTGTTAATTTCAAATAAAGCAAATATAGTAAATAATGAACCAATGAATTTTTAATAATAAGTTGAACCGGTTCACGGTTCAGTTGACAATTATTTTATAACACATTAGTAGAGATAATTTTGTTGATTCAATAAACTCATAAAGAAACCCAGATAATAATAAAAAATAATACAAAAAAACACATACATATACATATTCTCTCTGTCATATTCGAGTCTCTGGCAGAATGTGCAATTTAACAAAATTATTAAAAATATTTAGTATAAATTTTTTACTTAAATTTAATATTAAGTTCACTAAATTCTCAAATTCTTAATTTTTACGAAAGTCCTTTTCAAAAATGTAATATTTTTATTTTTATTTTTTATGTGCAAATTATAAAAAATACCCGAACTTATAATTGTTATGAGAAGCCAATCAATTCTATTGAATTTAAAACAAGGACATTTTTTTTTTGTAATTTAAAAGTTTTATTACAAATTGTTGTTAAGGATTTGTAAATAATGACAATGAGTTAATAATCATTTTTTTGTTTTTGAGTTTGTATGAAAGTTAAGTCGATTACGATATAAAATAAAATAGAAAAATTATTTTGTTTCCTCTCTCACTCTTCCTGTAGGATTACAGTGTGTAATAATAGGTCTTTTATAAAGAAAAATACTTAATAAATATTATGTTTAATAATAGAAAGAAAAATAAAAATAAAATTAAATCTTTTAAGCTGTTTAATGAAAATTTGTTTAGCTTTCATACTTAAGATTTAAAGAATTTATGAAAATTATTGAGTCAACTTGAAGTTCTTATTTTTAGTTCAATTATATATAAGCCTGGGTATTTTAAAATCCTTTTTCTTAATTCATTCAAAATCGTCTTCTTATACTTCCTCTTTTCATTTTCTTGATTAATGATATCTACGCAATTTGATAATGCTTTTATTTACTAAAACTCTGATAATTTCTACAAGAAAAACATTCGTTCAAACCATAAAGTAAAACCAATATAACGAAAAGCTTTAAAAATTCAAAAAACGTAATTTCGAAACATCTTAATGAACGAATTTAATTTCGCCATCAATTTGGTCAGTATTGCGATCGTTAGGGTGACTAATGACTATTAATTTCAATACTTCCCACGACATTTTCCGATTACAAAGCTTTAATTTTCTTATATTGTGTTGCATACATTTCGGATGAAATACACAAACTAAAGTTTAAAAAAAAAATTATATACGTGTAATGATCGAATAGGGTATTATCAAAATACTCTTGATTTACGAATAGATTTATTTTAATATTTTTATTTTCAGAGAATTTTAATTGTGTTCCGGGAAAAAAAATCAGCCGCAAATTTGAATTTTTTTTGTTTTAACGGAGCTATAACTCCTATATAACTATTTATTCATATCTACAAATATGTTAGGGTTTCTTCGATTTATATAGTCTTAACATAAGTAAAATATAGTTTTTTTGATAACACTTTTAATGGAGTACTTAGCTTGAAAAAGAATTATGTGGCACTCGGAATAAATATTATTCCACAAAAGTAAGTTTCTTATTAAAAGTTACTTGGCTACAAAATATTGATTTTAGAGAACAAAGAGATTAAGACAAATTCAGAAATTGAAGATTTTGCATGCTGCCAGTAATATTTGTACATACATACTTACATAAAAATATTTCATATGAAAATGTAACAATTAAGGTGTTTAAGTTTCTTAAATTTTCCTTTCATTTTTTGTTTTTTTTTTTTTTGTGAGAACCGAAAAAATAAAAAAAGGATCAATGGAAGACTAAATATAATTTTATATGTTTACATAGCTTTTTTCTATGTATAAGTAAATGTCAATAATATTCATTAGAAATTTTTATTTTTGAAAGGATCAATATTCTTATACACACATACGTCTGCATCTTACATACAAGTTTATACTTAGGTGTTTAAAACAATAGAATACACTTACAAGTTTTACTTTTTATAAAGAAAGAGTAAAACAAACTTATTAAAACACTTTATATATGATAAAAAGGATTTTTATTTTATTTGAAGTTGATTGATGTATTTTAAAATTTCTTCTCATTAAAATTTAAAACAACCACAAAAAGATTAAAGAATTCAAACTTTAAATCCTTCTTAAATTTAAAATTTTTATAGCAAAAGTATAAAATTTTCAAGCAAAAAACACAATCAACCTTTTTTATTGTACAACTTTTCTAAGAACATAATCTCAAGTTGAACAAAAAGTTCACTTTACTTATGTAGAATTTTATTTTTAATTTGAGCACACCATAAAACGTAACTAGTAGCACTGCTCCAATTGGCATGAGCACTATACGAAACTGCTACAAAATTGTATTTAAAATGGTGACATTGCAAGTCTTCCCATCAAATCTTAATTAAGTGGAAACAATATATAAATAAACAAAAAGTGGAAACAATAAGTTCCGTGTATAGATCAATAGAGAAGCTAACAAAATTCATTTAAAAAAGGAAAGATATACGAGAATATAATGGTTTTTAGAAAATGAATTGTGAGAGATAAATGCAGTAACTTAGGGCGAAGAGGCTAGGAATTATTAGAACAGATGTCTTTCGTGGATGAGGAGGTGAAACAGGACCCTCTGTGTTGGCTTGTTTCTGTTGTTAAAGAAGAGACTAATGTTAAGCAATAATTATTATTGGAGATCCTGAAATTCGTTAAGAAGGTTGACTATTGTTTCTCCTGAAGAGTTAGTTGGCATCAGGGTTATCAAGACTTATCGATGGGCCTTCTAACTGACCTAGTGCATTGGTTCTATGTGAGTAGTCAGCAAACTAATGAGAAACGAATGATTACTAGTGATAGTAACAAAACGGAAGTCACATAACTTAAAGCTTAAAGCTTATAATTAATAATTATGAATTTTGTATTGAACACAAATTAATTTAACATAAAACTAATTCGTTGTGGTAGAAATAAAGATTTTGTTTCCAAAATCACTTCAAATTCAATTTACAGAGTGTTCAGTATACAAATTTTTTAATATCGCTTAAATAAATTTCTTAAATACTGATATTATATATGACTATTATCTATGCCTATTATTTACAAAGATTTTATAGAAGATTTTTAAGATTTTAAATTAATTCAATAAAAATTTAAAGTTTTGTACAAAATTTTCATTTTCCACCTTAATTCTCAATCGAACGCGTCCTTATACAAATTTTGCTTTTATAATCAAAAAAGGAAATATCTTCATATATTCTTTCTTAAACATAAAAAATAAAAATAAATCCTTAACTGTGACAAAATCCAATTCCTATGGTATCTGCACACATACACATACATTACTAGTTCAAATCCATTTCAGATTATTTCTCATATGATGGCTTTATACAAGATAAAAGTTAACAAGGAGGTGAAAATATTAAATAGAAAAGTTTTTTTGAGTAGCTCTAACTGAGTTCATTACTTTTCTTCACATTAAAGAAAATTTTTGAAAAATTTCAATATAAAATAATTTTCTTTTGACTTTTTCTTTTAATTTCTTTTTCTTTTAAAGCTAATAATTGGGTTTTCAAGTTGATACAAAAAAAGTTTTCAAAGTAAAAGTTTGTCATTTAATAAAAAAATTTTTAAAGTTGCCAAATTTAAAGAAACGAATATAATTTTTGTCATTATAAAACCCTAAATTCTTGCAAAAATTTAGTTCGAAGAGTGGTTTTAACTTCTAGAATGAATCTTTTGCCTATTAAAATAAATTTTATGATTTATTTAACATTTATTAATCATTTTAAAGCTGAAAAATTCATTTAAAGTGCTTAAGAATTTTTTTTTATACCGCTGTTCTAATTCTATATTTCGAATGAATTCTAATCGATATTGAAATTAAAATTCACTCGATTTGAAAGTTGATGTTCTAAAATGCGGTTGTTTTAGGAAATTTTCGGAATGTTTCAATTTCGTATTCGAAAATCACCATATAATTATTATTCATCAATAAAATTCGCTATATGAAATATCCAAGCCATATGAAAAGGTTTTGCTGAATGCAAGTTGAAAAAGTGTTTCAAAATATTATGCAATTGTAACTACACAAAACCTTTAAATTTTAAGTGATCCTTATAGAGAAAAATATAAGGAGGAGAGTTAAACAAAGAACGTTACGGCTCAATTCCACTAAAGTTTATAGTAAATAGGAACATGGAACACCGTCAAATCATTTTCGATATTCCATCTGATTTACGAAATACATTTGGATGGATTTGATTTGGAACACTAAATTTCATTTTTACATTTCAAATTTGACCGAAATTGGAATACAGAACATTGAATGTAAAATATTAAATATATTATATATAATTATATTATTATGTATTTTACTTACTTGAACTGCATCACCACTTTCCGGTAACAAGTTATTCACATTTGGACGGGCTTCAATATTGTCAACAGCAAAAATCAATAAACATAATATATAAAATATTAACATTGTTAAAGAATTTATTGAATAACTTTTAAATAAATGAAAAAAGAATTTTTTGAACATAATTTGAATATCGGCTAAAATATTAAAGCTTCTTGTAAATAAGCTATTATTATTAGTTTTATTATTATTATTTGTAATTATTGCATTATTTTCATTATTATTAATTATTTTGTATTCCATTTTATTTTCATTTTCATTGCTATCATTGTTATTATTATTATTATTATTATTATTATTATTATTATTATTATACAGAAATTCTTTATTTGTTGCGTTTAAAATTTGTTCATTCTTAGCACCATCATTATCTATTAGGAAATTTGTAGGCTTTTTATCACTATACATTTCTTTACACTGCAGTCTATTTATATTATTTATACTATTAATATTATTAATATATTCATTTGTTTTTTCATTATTATTATCTTCTTCAATAATATAATAATTATTATTTCTATTATTATTATTATTATTATTATTATTATTATTATTATTATTATTATTATTATTATTATTATTATTATTATTATTATTATTATTATTATTATTATTATTATTATTATTATTATTATTATTATTATTTATATGAAAATTTTTAAAATAATTTTTATATAAAAATGAATTTATATAATATTGCAATCGATTGCGCCATCTAACTGAATTCGATATAAATAATAAATTAAAATAATCATTATTATTAAAATCGTTATAATTATTATTTTTATTATTTATAATAAAATTATAATTATTATTATCATTTATAATGTTTTTATCATCATCATTTCTTTTATATAATTGATTTTTAATAATTTTATTGTTGATTTTATTATCATCATTATAATTAATATCTTCTTCATCATCTTCATCATCATTATTATTATTTATACAATGACAATGATTATCATTTGAATTATGATATATCACATCACCTTTAATTGTATTTTCTTTACCGCACTGTTTTGTTAATTTGTACATAATGCCGTCATTTATTTATTTTATTTTTTTAAATATTTATTTTTTATACAAAATAATATCAAATAAAATTTAAATAAAAAAAAAATTAAGATAATAAATTTTTTTTTTTTTGTTATTTTTTTCTACTAAAATTTTTTTAATAACTTGTACTACAATTTGGAAATTTGAAGTGTTATAATGGTAAACGACATCTGTCGTATTATAATTGTGTTATTTATTTTCTTGAAAGATTTGTAAGACATCTATAAGAAGTTCTTTGTGTTAATAAATTTTTTCCTAGAATGAAAAAAAAAAAATTTTTTTGAAATTATTTATAATATTTTAATAAAAATTAAAAATATTTATGCATATTAAATTTTAAAAAATAAATTTTTTATTTGTGGGAAAATTTTTGTAAAGAATTGTTTTATTATAAGTCTAATATCCACCCGGTTATTCAAAAGAAAATGAAGACGCATATTGCCTAATAAATGATATAATATTCACGATATCTTCATTTCTCATTCGTGAGACCCGTTTTAGTGTATACATATCAGGTCTGGTTTTGCTTTCGTAATGTTGATATAAATCGTATTGAAGCAGTGCAAAGACGTTTCTTTTGTTTTGCAGATCCTCGTAATACAGATTGATCGAATTCATTTAGATTTCCCTTTTATGAAAGTTTTCTTCAGCGTTTAGACTGAAGGTCGCTTTGTTATCTTAGGATAATTTCTGATACAGTTTTAATTCGTGAAATTGTTGTGGGTAATGTAGTTACCCCAGTTTTATTGGGTAAAATTTTTTACAGGGAGAATACCAATAATTTAAAGCCGATTGAACAATGTTCCGCGTTATAGTATACGGGCAATGTTTTCGTCTATTAAATTAACTTGCATTCATCGTTTATTTTATCCAAATATGAAAAAGAGCGCGCTTTAAGTCAGACTCTAAGGTTGAATTGATTTTGTTTAATTTGTTCTTAGCTTACGTGACGCTTTACAATATAAGAATGTTTAATTATGATTCATCTTAAAAATTGATGGTATAAAAATTTTATTATTAACAAAATAGGGCTAAACTATTGAAAAGTACTTACTACAATAAAAAATTAACTTTAAATTAATGTGAAAACTCATAAGCTGATAATAATTTGGAATAAAAACGATATTTTTTTCCTTAATTTTATTAAATCATTAGAAAATTATGCAGATTGCGTGTTAATAATTATTATAAATTACTAAAATTACTTAAAATAGTTGTTTCTTCGCTTAAGAGTCAAATATTTTCGAGGCGGATTTTAACAAATTTATTGATTACAAACAAATTAAAAATTCATTATTCTTATTTTTTTTTATTAGAGTGTTTAGCCTTTAAGAATTTAATAATTTTTTAATAATTTATGAATTAAAAAACTGAAATTATTTCTGGAATAAAATTGTAAAAAAATATCTTACGTAATATCAATTATTTGTAAATGTAATTAGAAAAAATAGTTATGTAATAATTCTTAATTAAATAAAAATTTTGCATATCACAAGGGGCCAATAATAGTTGAGCCTTCACTCTTTTATTCCAAATACTGTAGGAGTTCTAAAGGCGGGCATACAAGTAATGCCTATGTCTGTAATTAATTTGTGTCTGGCCATTTTGAAAATCGCATTCACATGTGTAAAGAATAAGTATTTCATTTTATTTTTATACTGAAATAATGAAACAACAAAATTATTTATTATATGTATGTGTATGCACATACATAAAAGAATTTAATCTAAAATTTTCAGAATTAACTTTTTTTGTCAGCCTATACCAAAATCTTTTACACCGTAGGAGGGAAGTAATTAATCATATTAAAATAATTTAATAATTTCTTTTGATTCATTACCTCGCTAAACAATCACCCAACTTACAAATAATAAACTTAATTTTTATAAAAGATTTTATTTTATAAAATTTTAAAAAGTAAAAAAAAAAAACTAAATATCATTTTAATCTTGTTATAACAATCTCAATCAAAAAAATTGTTTTCAAAAATAATCCTTGAATATAAAATGAATAAAAAACGGGGACAAAAAAATGCTTTATGAAATATTACGATAAAAAATTTCTTAAAATTTTAAAATAGATTCAAATATAATTAGTTAATTAGTCCAACACCAAACATATAATCCAACCATTAATAGAGTAACTTATGTTTCTGTATTTATATAAGTTAAAAAATTTATTTTTGCAATATTTAGAATTAGTTTCCATTGTTGTTTAGCAATTATTCGAACGCGTTGCCCGAATTTCTCCAATCACAATAGCAGCCGTTCTTGGTAGAAAAGAAACAACTTTTCAAGGTTTGGTGTCGATTGCATCATTCGTTTTTGAGTTATCGTGCGATCGTACTGATGGACGGACATGTCTAAAAAAAACGCATAATTTTACTCTGAGCAAGAATATATATACATGTTCATACTGGACGTCTCCTTCAAGTGGTTACAAACTCAATACCGAAGTTAAAATACCCTTCACCAAGTGAGATATAAAAAATTAATTGAACAACTTTTAGAACATATCGAGAATCGATATCCTCAACTGTTTAAGCTCCAAATTTATTATTTTTAAAAAAAAAATTTTGACTATAAAAGAAGCATCTTATATAAAAACAAACCCCTTATTAACTTGTCGTTTGTTTTTTATTTAGAATATAAAGAAGGACGGTCGCCCATTTACCAATCCCATCGGTCTTGTTTTAAATTAAATATAGTATATGTAATATAATGTAAAATATAATGTCATATATATATATATATATATGACATGGTAAAATGAAACTAATTTAATGTACATACGCAAAAGGCCAAAATTTAAATATAATTAATTACAAAAAGCATTAATAGAACTAATTTTTGCTTCAAAATATTGTGTATGTGTGAATGTATATAAAAATTATGTTCAGTTAAAATGTATGTATATTTTGTAATTATAACTATATAATATACAAGTATGTAAACCAGATCACATAATTATTTTTTCAGTAATTTGATAAAAAGAAATTTTCATTAAAAAAAAAAGCATTTTCTTAGTACAAATTAAAATTCAAAGAATGAAATGTGTGCGTAGAGAAAAATAAGATTGTAACTCCTAAAAATATATATTATTTTGACACAACACATACACATTTATAAAAGAGAACTAAAAATTTTCAAGGACTAGTAAAATTTCAATTTTCATTAAGTCATAAATAAGTACGGACAGATAAAAAAATCATATTTTTTTAAACATGAATTTTTCAGATAAAATAACTGTTAACAAAAATGTCCTTATATAATTTTTATTGTAATAAATTAAATATATTGCATACTAGTAGAAAATTTTGATACAAAAAAAATAAGATTAATTGATCCACATTGTGATTTTTGAGCGATGCTTTTAATAAATAATATCACGACCCTATACGATTATTAAAAAATATAAATAGATCTTAAGATTAATTTTCTCTTAATAAATAAAATTTTTATGTAATAATTAAAAAAAATTCACATGATTATAAATTTTTTAATATCCATATTAATTTATTACACTCTCAATTGAAAATATGATTCAGAGAGTTAAACAATATGCTTACATTCTGTTTAAGGCTGCAAATATTATAGCACTTGAAATTAATTTCAAGCAAGTGATTGAAATTTGTTGTAAGTAAAACGCTGCTCTGTAAAGAAATCGGGTTAGGTTCAGAAGTAAAAAGTAAATTTAATTGATAAGGTTTTGATCTTCATTTTTCATAATACATACGAGTATATATATATTTTTAAATGCTAGATAGCTTGCATCCGAAACTAACGTGAAGAATTACTACTTTCTACTACTAGTTTGCTTAAACTGATACGAGTATATGTAGTTATATAGGAATAACAGAGAGTATACCTGAAATGGAATGAAAACAACAAGAATTAAATTCTTATTTAATATTTAAAAATTTAATGGCATAAAAAATAAAAATATTGAAAGAAAAGTAAAACTTTGCAATACAGGTTAACATGATCAATTAAATTAACTAACAGACCGCATTGCCTATAATAAGGAAGTTATGTGATGTTAGCAAATGTTGAGTTTTCAGTGAGAATACACTTCTCCATGCGGTAGGGAAGCGTAAATAAACTATTTCTGCAGGCATGTCGGTCTATCAGTCTGTTTGCCTGTGTTTCGATGAAATTTTATGTGTGTATATATTTCGGCTATATCACAAATTAATCAAGGTTTTCTTGCCGGTTTATTTTAATCAACCAATTTGCGGAAACAATAAACTAATTTCCTTGAAATTTAATATTTAAGTTCGGGATGTAAAAGCAATAAATTAAATGTGTTACTATCTTAATAAACTAAGTTAATTTAATGTTAACTATAAAAGCTCACTAACGTCTTTAAAATTTTAAAGAAGTGCAAACACTTTTTTTCATAATCTTCTGTAACACTTTCACCAAATGGGACAGTAACCATTGCGAGTGGCTCACCGAACTGCGGGCTTATGTGATCATACCAAATATTTTTTTTGTTTTTAAAAATTTAATTTTCTAAGAACTAAACTTAAAATAATTTTTTAAAATATTCTTATTATCTTTACAAAATTTTCAAATTCCTAGCACGTTTCTAAGACATTTCAAATTATATACAAAAATAAATGTAATTTTCGAAACACATTTGAGTACAATATAGCAAATCACTATTTAGATATTAAATAATTTATTCAAAATTATTATAATATGCCAAGATGCAAATAAGCAGAATATTTTTAAGTTTCTTTTAAAATGAAAACGTCTACCCGCGCAATATATGCATATTTCAGCTTAAATTTATGAATAAATCATATACATACAAACATTTACGTATATATAAAATATTTATATTTTAATAAAGTTTTCCACAAGTGAATAGTTTCCATATTAAATTAACAATTCTTGTATGTACTCAGTTTAAATTCAGTTAAAATTTGTGGCGGTTTCGAAAACATGAAAATATTAAATTTTAATATTTAAATATGTTAGAGAAATTAACAGTTAAATGGACAATTAAAGAAATTTTTAAACTTTAATATTTTTGTTCCGATAAAACCAACCTGCTTTTTAATTTTACACTACCAAATTATATTAATTACTTATCAAATCGGAATTTATCTAAAAATTTAAAAACTATAATATTTTTTGGACTAGTTTAGCACAACTCAAACACAAAACTCATAATATGTTAAACTAGAATTAAAAAGCTAATTTAAAAATTATTTTAATCGTGTATTCAAAATTAACTTTGAACAACTT